CATCAAAACAACCATCAACATCAACGAGGACCCTCATCAGTATGCATACCGTGAGAACCGATCAACAGAGGATGCAATCTCCTCTGTGGTCCACACTGCGCTCAACCACCTGGAGCAGAAAAACTCTTACGTCCGTATGCTCTTTGTGGACTTCACATCCGCCTTCAACACCATGATCCCCCAAACCCTGATGGACAAACTATCCACACTAGGACTAAGCCCCTCCATCTGCAACTGGGTACTAGACTTTTTAACAAACAGACCACAGTTAGTGAGGATCCACAACCTCTCCTCCTCCACCATAACCCTCAGCACTGGCTCTCCTCAGGGATGTGTGTTGAGCCCCCTTCTGTTTACTCTGCTCACATATGATTGTGCAGCTACCCATCCAGGCTGTCACATTGTAAAGTTTGCAGATGATACAGCGGTGGTGGGATGCATCACAAACAATGATGAGTCCAGCTACAGGCAAGAGGTGGAACACCTGGAGAGCTGGTGCAGAGAGAATAACCTTCACATCAATGTGAAGAAGACAAAGGAGATGATTGTGGACTTCAGAAGGAACAAAAACACCTACACCCCCCTGAACATAAGAGGATCTGCGGTGGAAGTGGTCTCCAGCTACAAGTACTTGGGTGTACACATGAATGACAACCTCAGCTGGAGCAACAACACCACCAGCCTGATCAAGAAAGCTCATCAGAGACTCTACTTCCTCAGACGGCTGAGGCGAGCTGGTCTGGGAAGCTCAGTCCTCACCTCCTTCTACAGGTGTGCAGTGGAGAGCATCCTGTGCTCGAGCATCAATGTGTGGCATGGAGGCTGCACAGCTGCAGAAAGAAAAGCTTTGCAGAGAGTGGTGAAGGCTGCACAGAAATCTGTTGGAATCAGTCTCCCCACCATCACAGACATCTACACCTCCAGATGCAGGAAGAGGGCCACCTGCATCATGAAGGACCCCACCCACCCAGCACACACACTTTTTGCCCCACTCCCCTCAGGAAGGAGGTTAAGGAGCATTAAGTGTAGAACCACTAGACTGAGGAACAGCTTCTACCCTGAGGCTGTTAGACTCATGAATCTCTAACCAGAATAATCACTGTGAAAAACCATATCATGTTGCTGCTGATCTGTTTCATGTTGCTGCTGATCTGTTTCATGTTGCTGCTGATCTGTTTCATGTTGCTGCTGATCTGTTTCAATGTTGATGTGTTCATGCGTGCACATCTGCTCACAGACTCATGTTCATGTTTGTGCTGATGTTCAATGTTTTATGTTATGAGTGCTTAGTGTATATTTAGTTGATGTTTTCCTTAGTTCATATCTTAGATGTTATTACTGTTTTTCTTATACATTTTATTGTTGGATGTAACTGGGACCCTGTGTACATAATTTCGCTCCACCACATGTACCACATGAGGTGCGAATGACAATAAAGAAACTCTGACTCTGACTCTGACTCATGTTGTGTAATCATTCTGGCAAAAGAAGTTCAAATCAGTGTTTTACATCCCAAAATATGACTTTTATGCCCATGACGAATGTAAGCCAACTTCTGCTCGCAGCTTTAATTGTTCTCAACCTTTCCACAGAAGCAGCTTTCAAAACATCTTCAAGGTTATGGTGAGTGGTGATTTTATTGATTTCAGTCTGCCCATTCTTCATCCTGTCTGTATTACCTTTGTTCCGTGTGTGTTAGGAAGCGGTGAGTTCAGGAACTCTTCAGTCAGTCTCATCCAGCTTCCTGCCTTACTCAGATCCGAGTGGACCATCAACTTCTCATAGATTCTGGGAAAAAAAAAAAAAAAAGCATTACGCCAAACAAAAAACAATGAGACAGGAAAAAAAGTGTCATCAGTGACTAATGATGCATAAAAAATGGTAAAACAAATGTAAATGACTGAATTGACTAAAGTTTTATCCACCCTTTATATTGACACAATAGCCAACACAAATTTATTTATATAAATTTACCTATGTAATATACACAACCTTCTTAATGATTAAAAAGTCTGAAGAATAAAAATGGTTCAAACATCCAATGAAATGGTGAATTTATTCTGAAAATTTAAAAACACATAACTTCCTAACTTTCTGGTTCTGCTGGTGTCTTTGGGCCATGACCTTCAGCGTGCACTGGGGCGGTGTGCAGCCGAGTGTGAAGCGGACGGGATGAGTGTCAGTTCCTTTTTGTTTCAATGGTTGTCGACCGGAAATGGTGGACAGCACACTCAGGTCGGAGGGGAGTTTATGCCTCAGGTGAAAGAGTTTATAAATTTCTGGGCAAATTGCACGCCACCTATGCACCCCTCCCCCCATACACACAGCACCCCCCACCATGAATGTCACACCAGGCCGACCAGCCAGCGCCCCCGTCAAAGCAAAGCCACGCCCCCGACCGCTGCCATACACCACCAACAACCAAACACACAACCAAAGCCGACCCCCCGCCAGAACCCGGTAGCCACCCCAGCCAAAGGGCCGGTCATCGAAACCAGGAACCTTGATCAAAAAAGCCAAACAACCCAGGGAGAACCGGAGTACAGGCCCCGCCCCCAAGGCCGAACGCCGACCCACAGCCCAGATCCCAACCAGGCAGCCTACCCTGCCCCCAACCCCAAATGTCAAATGGAGAAAGGGGCTGTAAGGAAAATAAATAAATTAATTATTTTAAAGTATATATACAAACTGGATTCCAAAAAAGTTGGGACACTAAACAAATTGTGAATAAAAACTGAATGCAGTGATGTGGAGACGGCAAATGTCAATATTTTATTCGTAATATAACATAGATGACAGATCAAAAGTTTATTCTGAGTAAATGTAACATTTTAAAGGAAAAATATGTTGATTCAAAATTTCACAGTGTCAACAAATCCCCAAAAAGTTGGGACAAGTAGCGATAAGTGGCTGGAAAAAGGAAATTGAGCATATAACGAACAGCTGGAAGACCAATTAACACTAATTAGGTCAATTGACAACATGATTGGGTATAAAAAGAGCTTCTCAGAGTGTCAGTGTCTCTCAGAAGCCAAGATGGTAAGAGGATCACCAATTCCACCATTGTTGCACAGAAAGATAGTGCAGCAATACCAGAATGGTGTTACCCAGCGTAAAATAGCAAAGACTTTTAAGTTATCGTCATCAACCGTGCATAACATCATCAAAAGATTCAGAGAATCTGGAACAATCGCTGTGCGTAAGGGTCAAGGCCAGCTCCTCTGTCCCCAGATGTCAGTTGAGTGTTGTAAGAAGAAGGGGGGATGCCACACAGTGGTAAAAATGGACTTGTCCCAACTTTTTTGGGATTTGTTGACGCCATGAAATTTGGAAACAACAGATTTTTCCCTTAAAATGAAACATTCTCTCAGTTTAAACTTTTGATCTGTGATTTGTGTTCTATTCTGAATAAAACATTAGATGTTGGCACCTCCACATCATTGCATTCAGTTTTTATTCACAATTTGTTTAGTGTCCCAACTTTTTTTGAATCCGGTTAACCGGATTAAGACACTTCTTACAACACTCAACAGACGTCTGGGGACAGAGGAGACCAGTTTCTCAAGTTTAGAAATAGGAATGCTCTCCCATTCATGTCTAATACAGGCCTCTAACTGTTCAATCGTCTTGGGCCTTCTTTGTCGCACCTTCCTCTTTATGATGCGCCAAATGTTCTCTATAGGTGAAAGATCTGGACTGCAGGCTGGCCATTTCAGTACCTGGATCCTTCTCCTACGTAGCCATGATGTTGTGATTGCTGCAGAATGTGGTCTGGCATTATCGTGTTGAAAAATACAGGGTCTTCCCTGAAAGAGATGACGTCTAGATGGGAGCATATGTTGTTCTAGAACCTGAACATAGTTCTCTGCATTAATGGTGCCTTTCCAGACATGCAAGCTGCCCATGCCACAAGCACTCATGCAACCCCATACCATCAGTGATGCAGGCTTTTGAACGGAGCGTTGATAACAACTTGGGCTATCCTTGTCCTCTCTGGTCTGGATGACATGGTGTCCCAGCATAGGTGTCACAACCATTATATGTGAAGGGGAAAAGTCCCCCCCCCACATAAAAAAAAACGTTCATTTGGACCCCCCCCCACTTTTACTGTATAACATTAGTTCAGGCGGCGCAGTTTATTTTTCTTTGTGAACAAATCCATTACACTTTATTAATAGGAGAGTACTCAAACCACTAAAACTCCACTCCAGCTTTTCCTGGTTACCTCCAACTCTCCACCGGTCCCTTCCTGTCTCTTGCCTCGGCAGAAAACACGCAAACGTAGAGGAGATGGAGACACCTCTGTGTTACTCACTCACCAGTTTAGCGAGCTTAGTGCGGGCAGTCCAAGTATATATTTACATATATGTATATATTTACCTATACGTATATATATACATATATATATATATATATATATACATACATATATATATACATATATATATATATATATATATATACATACATATATATATACATATATATATATATATATATATACATACATATATATATACATATATATATATATATATATGTATATACATACGTATATACATACACATATGTATATACATATATACATACATATATGTATATACATATACATACATACATATATGTATATACATATACATACATACATATATGTATATACATATACATACATATATGTATATACA